CCCGAGCTCAATCCCTATCCGCAGCGAGATTTGGCGGGAGGGACATTTCCGCACGCCCTTCCCCGCTCCCCCACCTCCGCCACCATCGCCCCGCCGCCGCACGCTCCGGTGCATCCTCCGCGGTCGTCCCTCGCCGCCATGGACGACTCTCAGCTGCCCCCCATCACCGTCGAGGTCGCACATGCCCCTTCCCCTCCGGCGGATCTCGTCACCGACCATGTTGGCCCCGCCGTCGCTCAAGCTAGTGCCGCGCCTGCCCGCAAGCGGCAGGGCAACGTGGTCGTGCAGGGCGGGAATTCGGCAGCCCCCGCCACCAAGGCTCGCGCTCCCGGCGCCAACTCTGCTGCGTGATCTCGGCCAACGGCGGAGAAGGTGACCAAGGCCGTGGCCGGCAAAGAGGAAGAGGAATCCGGCTACAAACAAGGCGCCTCCTTCATCCTCGAACTCCATCCCAGAAAGAAGTGCCCCGCCGATGCCGTCCAAAGACGCTGCTCCCCCCGCAAGCGAGGTGTTCGACGAAATGGCCGGAAGGTATGCGTCTTCGGTCATGGTGCTTTCCTTTCGTTTTCGCCATTTGTTGCTAGCTCGTGACTTGTTATCGTTCAATATAGAGGTGGTTCAAACAATGGAACTGCCGAGTTTGTGAACTTGTTGGACACCAATGCCGTTGACATTGATCAAGCCCCGTTCGCATTCGAGTACAATGAATCGGAGGGCGGCGTGGATGATCATGGCTGTGAGGACGAATTGGCCGAGATCGAAGCGGAAGCGTTTGAGCAATCGCAATCAAAAACCGGGAAAAGCCAAAAATCGAAGAACTACACGATCTTGAAAGATCAAGCTTTGATCCAAGCATGGAGTGCGGTGTCTCTTGATGCATGCACAAGTACTTCTCAAACCGCCAAGAGATATTGGCAAATGATCGAAGATCAGTACTTCCGCATCATGGCAAAGTATCCCAATAGGACTCCACGCACATTTCGGTCGTTTCAAGGCCGTTGGGAGAACATCAAGCCTATGTGCAGCCGTTGGGCAGCTTGCTTGGAGCAAGTACGCAATGCGCCTCCAAGTGGTACCGTGGAATCCGACTATGTGAGTTTGTTTTGCCTTTGTTCAAGTTGTGCATAATCATATTTGCATCATGAGAATTGATTACATCACTTTGTTCTTCACATTGTGTAGGACAAGATTGCCCAACATAGATACAAAGACATGGAAGCTTCAGAAGGCGAATTCTTCAAACTAGAGTATTGTTGGGAGTTGCTCCAAAAGTGCGAGCAGTGGAAGTTGATCGACAAAGAATCTCCACCGAAGAGAGGCTTGCTTATAAACATGGATGAAGATGAGGATGATGATGGCCCAAGAAATTTGAAAAGCCCGATGGCGACAAGAAGACTACGGAGAAGATGAAGAGAGAGCAAGAAGCATCGAGCTTGAGGGAGAAGATTGATGCCATGGTGCAATCAAACGAGTTGATGTTGTTGAATTCATTGGAGATCAAGAAAGAGTTGGCCGAGAAGAAGGCAAAAGAGAAGCAAGAAAAGTGGCAATTGCTCAAAGAAGAGGGGCTCCGCAAAGCTGCCATTAAGGAGAGAAGAGCACGCGCCGTTGAAAACAAATCCCTGTCTTTGTTGCTCGCCGAAGAGAACAAGATCATGTCAATGAACCGCGATGACATGGACGACCTCACAAAAACATGGCATGATATGGTAAGGAGAGAAATCTTGAAGAGGAGAATGGTCGCGTCAACCGGTCCGTGTTACAGTTCCGGAGATGTTTTCTCTGCTCCATATGGTGCCAGTGTTGATGATTTCGGTGCGGGAGTTGGGACAAGCGCCGGAGGTGGATTCGGTGGTGCTGATGAACTTCAAGGTGGACTCGATGACGAGAGTGAAGATCGACCAAGATGATGCCAGACATGGCCGTAACTTTTGCAAGACCCTCTTTTGCGTTTCTCGTACTGAACTTGGCTTTTATTTGCGCGTAAAACTGTGTTATGTTGTTTGAATTTGAACTTATTTGTGGGAACTTATGTCAAATGCGAGAATTGGGTGTTTTCTGTTTCCGAGTCGACGGGGCGGTGTTCGAACAGACCCCACAAAAGTCGACCCGTAAAAAAGTATATTCCGTGAATATCCTTTTATATGGGTCCTTTTGGGGGGTCTGCATCTGCACCGGTCCGAGCCAGCCCGCAAAAGCGGTTCCCCCCGAACTGCAAACGCGTTTTGCGGGCCGACGGGATGCGGGGTCTGCTAGAGTTGTCTTATCTGTGTCCGCCAAGACAGAACTGGTGCCTTGTGAGTAGTGACAACTGGCAAGGAGCGCCACCTGTCTTGGGCTTCACGATGACGTTGACAGAGGAAGACGTGGCACGGGCTACGGATAGGGCATCTCCAATGTGGTGCCGCAAGACAGACACGTTATCTGTCCAACGCGTCTCTGAACATGAATATGAAAGTCATCCATTTATTTAAACGCATATCTGAAACGCCCGTGCTCATTATAAAGGTAAATTAAACAAAATCAGACAAAAATTCACATATTTTAAAGACAAATTCAATTAAAGAAAACTAAAAGAACTACGCGAGGTACCAGATATTTCGTACGCATGCATGCCATGCCAAGTCGATCTTAACGAGCTGGTCACTGAGGCGCCGCCGATGCCACATAGGCGTCTCCATGTTGATCCTGGACCAGTCTAGCGCGACGTCTTATGTCGTGAATGTTTCCTGACGCTCCTCCTTGGACGACGTGGTAACGTCGTTGCGATAGAGGCAATGCAGGAGGCGCCCACGCGTGTTCGCGAGCGCCGGGGAGGGCCCTTGCTTCGCAGCAACGAGGCGGTGATGACGAGAGTCTCTCCATGCCGCGCCATAAGCGAGATGGCGGTGACATTAGCCGATCGAAGCGGCTCAGTGTGCTGTGCGGCCTAACCAGCTCCTCCTTGATGCAGCGTCCGATTCAGACGTCGCGGTTGCACCGCGGGAGGGGGCAGGGCCGGCCCTGTGTTTTGGAAGTCCCTAGGTGAACTCGGTGACATGGGCCCCTATATAAATTTCAACCAAATTTGACTATAATAATTCAACTGACTCCATTGACAACAATAATAATAAATTCGAACCGACTCCATCGACAACAATAATACTAACCGTCCAGACTCCTTGACATACCCATAGTTACTACAGCGACAAGCAGGTAGGACGAAGAGATTAAAGACCAACCGTCTAGACTCCAGACGAAGGAAAAGAAAATGAGCAGCCGGTACCGATGGCTGGCGCTAGCGTAACGCTTCGTAATCGATCGCATGGGCCTCGCGCCCTAGCCCATCTCGTTTTTTTACCATTTTTTTGCTGGGCATTAGTATGTATATGTACTAGATCATGGGCCCCCCTCCCGCCTGGGCCCTGGGCCACCGCCCCACCGCCCATGCCCCAGGGCCGGCCCTGGGAGGGGGCTCATGCTTGATGCCGCTTCAATGCGGTGCAGTGGCTGGAGTAGGCTTCTCGGTAGTCGTGTTCGCATTAAAGTAGCGCACCCACTCGTTTGGTCACGTCGCTCTGACCGACATCAAGGCCGTCTAATTGCGTCGCTCTGGACTGGCATGAAGAATTGCGGCGACCGCTCTAGAGCGGGAGGCACCACGATGACTTTGGGTGCGGCCGAGCGAGCGGGCATGTACATGGCACAGACCCCACACCCGTAAACCTCCCTCAGGTTTGGTGTCGGTTTGCGGGAATTGGGACGCGCTGACCCGTTTGCAAACATTCTCAACACTCTTTGACACAAAAACACACGTAGGAGGAAAGAAGCAGAAACATTCCTCCGAGGCTGGCGGTTAGATTTTGGAGGAACTCCATACTTGACCTCCGCAGCCTTAAACTATGGAGGCTACGAGCTCCATAAATTATGGCAGTGCGCAACCATAAGACGACTATGGTGAAGTATTATTTGGCTCAAAATTACTATACTGAAGGTTATTATAAGGAGCAGACCAATACGGCGACTCTAGTGTAATTGCTTCAAGAGAAATCGTGTACTATGTCACAAACTCGATAGTTTTCTCCCCTCACCGACTCGAAATAGTGCAATATATTATGCATACCACAGAGGGAGTGGAGTGGCTTAGTTGATTCCATCTCGCGTTTGGCTTTTGGTGAAGGTCGCAAGGCAAGCGCCGTTACGGTGGAGCCCCTGACCTGCCGTTGTTTTATGGACATGTTTGTAGCTACGTGGCGGTTATGAACCGACAAGGTGCTGTTTCGGTTTTGCACCTCCTCGTTCGTCCGTTCACCTGTTTCGGTTGAAGCTCTTCGTACATGTCTGTTGCTGCACCAAATTTTGAAAACGACCGCGTTAGCTTTGCTGTGTTTTGTTGCCAAAATTTTGCTTGCCTTTCAGCATTTTTTCCAATTAAGAAAAAACATGCTCGGCATTCTCTATTCTATTCAATTCTTGGTAAAAATACGAGCACTAATCAATTTCATGTAGGGCCTACTAGTAGTAAGATGTTTATATATGGTGCCCAAAACCGAATATATTCTCAGATGCTTCAATGATGCTCCCTCTGTCCCATAATGTAAGGCGTTTTTTTACACTACACCGATGTCGAAAAACGTGACGGAGGGAGTAATTTATTATACCATCAATAGTTTCGATGGCGCAGATTCAGCAGCACAAAACCGCCAGCGGGCCCTGGCTGGCAGTGGTTTTTGAGCGGAGAGAGAGGGAGGGAGACCACCGCCGCATTATTAGTCACCCCGCGCCCGTGCTTGGGCTTGGAGAGCAAGAAGAAGAGCACAGCAAAGCAAAGCAAACACTTTCCCTCCTTTCCATTCCATTCCCCTCAATCAATCCGCCGACTGCTCCGTTTATTTAACCGAGCCGTCCCATTCTTGGAGAGCAAGAAGCACGCCACCACCTCGCGTCCCCAAAGAATCCCCATCCCTTCCCCTCCCCTCCCCTCCCCGGCCGCACACAGATCCGGCGACCGACAACAAGCCATGGTGTCCAACGGGGAGCTGTCGCAGCCGCAGGCGGGGGAGTACGGCCTCGCCGTCATGCGCCGCCGGCCCAAGACCAAGATCGTCTGCACGCTCGGCCCGGCCTCCCGCTCCGTCGACATGATCGAGAAGCTGCTGCGCGCCGGCATGTGCGTCGCCCGCTTCAACTTCTCCCACGGCTCCCACGACTACCACCAGGAGACGCTCGACAACCTGCACGCCGCCATGGACCGCACCGGGATCCTCTGCGCCGTCATGCTCGACACCAAGGTCCCTCCCCTTCTTTCGCCGATCCGATCTGTGCCCGCCTTTTTTTTTTTGCTTGTTTCCTTTTCTTGCCTGCTCATGCTTGGTCTAGGTTTTGGTTCACCGTTAAATCATTTTTTCCCGGATTATAATTTGTAGATGAACTTGCAATAGCCAGGCTGCTGCTCTTCTCTCTGGGTGGGCTTGGTTGGGTGTTTTCTCTAGTACTATACTTTTTATGCCAACGATTAAAATTTGTTTTTCTCATTGGAATTTGTAGATGGACACACTACTTTTTTTATGCCGCCGATTTGGCTATTTTTAGCCATTTTCAGGATTCATTGCTCATTCGTGTTTCTTGATCTTCTTTGTGGACGCGATCTCTGATTTCTTTTGCTCCCTTGGTATTTTTTTTTCGACTGCTGCTTCTGCATGTTAGTACCTTTTGTTACGACCATGGTAAATTTGCAGGCAATTAAAGAGACAGATTGTACACGATGTTTTCGATATCCCAAGATCTAGCAATCAATTGCCTTCATTGGTCATCTAGCTTGATTTGCATGCGAACTTTGCTATCGATTGGGCCAATGTAGTACTAATACTCTCTACCAGTATCCCTGAATTTCGATTCGCTAGCTTGCCGCTGTCGATTTCATCTCCTTGTCGGCTGTCGTCCTCAGGGTGCAACCAAAGTTCCTCATGCGTTATTGTGTTTTGTTTGTTGTGGAATGTTTGTGACTACGCTGCCAATGGAGAATGCTAGTATTATTCTCACCTCGGGCAACCAACTGAAATATGGATGAACTGCCAAAATGCTAGTATAATCTTGAGTACTTTAACCTTCAGCTCAGTTAACACAAGAAGCCAAAGTGTAATATATGTAGCTCCTTTTTTCTTCTTGTTTGGACCTAGCAATGGTTTAGTAACGGCTCACGCTTCTGAAACAGTATTTTTTTTTTCAGGTTACAGCTCTTGTGATTCTACTGACAACTACTCCCTCCGTTCCTAAATAATTGTCTTTCTAGAGATTTCAACAAGTGACTCATACGGAGCAAAATGAGTGAATCTACACTCTAAAACATGTCTACATACATCCGTATGTTGTAGTCCATTTGAGATGGCTAGAAAGACAATTATTTAGGAACGGAGGGAGTATTATGTTGCTGCTGCAACAAATTTTATGAATTACGTGATCAGAATCCTTAGATTCTTTTTCTCTTCTATGTCACCCACACAAAGATGTCCAAATAGTATCTAATTATCGCATCTGAGGGTAATTTACTTTGCATGATCACTTAACATCTGATATCCATTTTATTTGATAGAATGTCCTGGTGCAGGAGTTGTCTGCAGAAGTAGTACAGTAAACTACTTTTTAGGAGCAAATATGAGCATATTTGGTTGGTGAAATGATTAAACCGTACTGGCAGAACCTATGATCTGAAACAAATCTTAAGACATCACAGACTTACTTCAGGTCCTTAGCAACTTTCAGTGGTCATTACTGTGTTCTTTTATCTTATTATTATTGGATGTGATCTCTGATTTATTTCTTTGCTCTTTTGAATTTAATTTTTTGCGAAAACTCTTGAACATTTTCTGTGATCCCCTTTCTTTTTCGCTGCTTGTGCATGTTAGTGCTGTTTTACTAGTATGGTAAATTTGCCAGCAATTAAAGCGACAGATGGCAGAACATATTTCTGGTATGAGACAATCTAGCCATTAAATGGCTGCATTGACATATAGCAAGATTTGCACGTGGATTTTGCTCGATGGAGCAATACTAGCCTAGCTGGATTTTTATTCGCTAATTTGCTGTTGTCGAGTTTGTCGGCTTGTGGTCCTCATGCTACAGCGAGAGTTTCTGCCTATATTAGTGTGTTATGTTTTGTTCTGTTCTTTTTTGTCACAGTGCCAATGGATAATCGATTGCTTTTTCATATTGTGCTACCAACTTAATATGTTTGAATTGCCAAAATGTTTATAGTATCATTTTGTCAAACTTTAACCTATATCTCAGTTAAAAGAAGCCAACGTGTAATATGCAGTTCCTTTTATTCCTCTTGTTTGTTTTGGCCTTGTAATGTTTTAGTAATGGCCCACGCTTTTAGAGCAGTATTTTTTTGGTTATCGCGATCAAGTTTCTGATCTACTGATAATTGTTGTGCTGCTGCTGCTGCTGCAACGAAGTTTATGAATTGTGTGAATACAGTCTAGATTTTCTTCTCTTGTGTATCACGCACACAAAGATGTCCAAGTAGTATCTATGTAACAAAGTTTATGAATTCTGTGATTACAGTCTAGATTTTCTTCTCTTGCGTGATCAGCTAACTATCTATTATGAATTTTATTTTAAATACCCAATTGGTGTAGTTGTCTGCAGAGACAGAGTTAGGAGCAAATGTGAATGCAAATTTGGACCACAAAGTGATTAAACTTAACTGGCACACACATAATCTGGAACAAACATTACCTGGGAACTGGGATTAGTTGAACCATATTCTCAACAATATCAATAACGCATTCACATTTGTAGCGGCTTTCTGGTATATATGTTTCTTTGTCTAAGAAAAGCATATTGTAATGGAATTCCAGCAACATAACATGAGGCTCAACTGTTTGTTGTGGCACACACTTGGTTCACATTACTGTTTTTGATCAAGGTGGGTAATGTATTTGGAAAAAAATCTTAGCATCATCGTAGCAACATTTGGAATCCTTGTTTGGATGAAGAAAGTTGCAATATGTCTGAAATTCTCACATGTGTTGAGAGCAAACTATGACAGACCTGGATGTCAAATTTCTGTCTCCATGATCAGCTTGATGGTCACAGAAATTAAATTCTCCCTCTGTAAAGAAATAAAAGATAGTGATCTAAACACTCTTATATTTCTTTACGGAGGGAGTACTAGTGATCTTGTTTGTGGTGTATGGGCCTGGATGTGTGTCAGTGATGAAATGATTGTTTATCTCTTACGTGTCATATTGAGAACCATTTACCTCATTTTGTGCACACTTGTTTGCTTGAGAAAGCTTATTGATCAGATATTCGTTGGTTTTCGACATGGCAGGGTCCAGAGATCCGTACTGGATTTTTGAAAGATGGGAAGCCTATCCAGTTGAGGAAGGGCCAAGAAATTGTGATCTCCACAGATTATAGCATAAAGGGGGACGACAAGATGATATCGATGAGCTATAAGAAGCTAGCAGTTGATCTGAAGCCAGGCAGTGTCATATTATGCGCTGATGGTACCATCACTCTTACAGTGCTTCATTGTGACAAAGAGCAAGGTCTCGTTCGCTGCTGTTGTGAGAACACTGCTATGCTTGGTGAGAGGAAGAATGTCAATCTTCCAGGGGTCGTTGTTGATCTGCCAACACTCACTGAAAAGGACAGGGAGGATATCCTTCAATGGGGCGTCCCGAACAAGATTGACATGATTGCTTTGTCGTTTGTCCGCAAAGGTTCAGATCTTGTGGAGGTCAGGAAGGTACTTGGGGAGCATGCCAAGTCAATAATGCTGATGTCAAAGGTACGCCATTCTCTCTCTTTTTTTTGTGGGTATTACACTCGTGCACTTCCACCTAGCAGATCATTAAGAGTTAACTTGAATGTGCAGGTTGAGAACCAGGAAGGAGTAGCTAACTTTGACGATATCCTGGCACAGTCTGATGCTTTTATGGTGGCAAGAGGTGATTTGGGGATGGAAATTCCTGTAGAGAAGATCTTTTATGCACAGAAGGTGATGATTTTCAAGTGCAACATTCAGGGCAAGCCAGTTGTGACTGCAACCCAGATGTTGGAGTCTATGATCAAGTCTCCTCGGCCTACTCGAGCGGAAGCAACTGATGTGGCCAACGCAGTTCTTGATGGCACTGACTGTGTGATGCTCAGTGGTGAGACAGCGGCTGGGGCTTATCCAGAACTGGCAGTGCAAACTATGGCCAAGATCTGCTTGCAGGCCGAGTCATGCGTGGACTATTCTGCTGTTTTTAAATCAATCATGTCATCAGCCCCGATTCCCATGAGCCCATTGGAGAGCCTTGCCTCATCAGCTGTCCGCACAGCCAACTCAGCCAAGGCGACGCTTATCTTGGTACTGACCAGGGGAGGAACAACTGCAAGGCTTGTAGCCAAGTACAGGCCATCCATGCCGATACTGTCTGTGGTGGTTCCTGAGCTCAAGACGGTCGAGTTTGACTGGATCTGCAGCGACGAGGGGCCTGCCAGGCAAAGCCTCATCGTGAGGGGCGTGATCCCTATGCTCAGTGCTGGCACTGCCAAGGCGTTTGACAGCGAAGCCACGGAAGAGGCACTGAGGTTTGCCATGAAGAACGCCAAGGAGATGGGCCTTTGCAACGCTGGTGACTCCATTGTGGCCCTTCACCGCATCGGGAATGCATCTGTCATCAAGCTCTTGACCGTGTAAGCTAGTGGCAGCGAAGCGACAATGCAACACCATTTTGCCCGGGGATTTTCCCTTCTTTCTTTTTGCGAGGCTACGCATACCCACAGTTTTTTGCTGCCAAGATTGCGGCAGTGCAACCTGGTTAAAACTTTGTGTTATCAAGTTGTGGCTGTTTACTCTTTATGAGAGGGTTTAGCCACCAAAACTATTATCGCAGCAGCTTGTTTTGCTACTACTACTATAACTTATATGCAACGATTGAACTACCTGATAGTTGCTTCACTTCATCTGTTTGCCTGTTGTTTGCGTTATATTTCTTGCATTTGCTACTTGCTAGTTCATCTCAAAATGGTCGAGGATGATGATACAAAGGCGTTTGTTTATTTCTAACATAAGCGATTGGGCCCAGACTTGTGACTTGTGACACAGGATGGATTGATTGCCGTCGTGTAGAGTTTGAAAACTGATGAACATCAGTCATATATTTGACAAAATGTATCAAATTTAAACTGTACAACCCTTGTTTTTTCTTTTTAAATTACACCCAAATGACCGATTCACATGAAGAAGAGACGGAGAGAAAAGCTCCAAGTTTTAGCGCAGCAGCAAACCCTTGCGTGCGTGGTAGGTATGGCAATGGCGGAAATCCAAACGGAGCAGAGCAGATTTAGTCCTCAAAGTGCCGCGAGCTGCCGCCGGAAGTGGAAGTGGACGATGGTGATGTAGCCTGCGGGGAGAAGAGGCTATTGAGCCACTGTATGGACGCCGGCAGCCGGCTCACGTTTCCTTCACCATCCACATCGCCGTCTTCGCGCTCCACGGCCACATTGCCCGCTGCCTCAACTCCACTCTCGTTGCCATGACCATCCACATTGTCGTTCACCTCAGCACTGACATAGGTGACGTAGGTGGTGGTGGTGCTGCTGCTACTCCCACTGCCGCTGCCGCATGAGCTCTTTGGGTCGTCGTCCGCCGGCAGCTGGAACCGGCAGACCGGGCAGGAGCTGTGCATCTCCAGCCACGGCACAATGCACTGCGAGTGGAACCTGTGCCTGCAGGGCAGCTCCCGGGCGCGCTCGCCGGACGCGTAGTCCTCCAGGCACACCGCGCAGCTGCCCGCGTCCTCCTCGTTGCACCCACCCACCACCTCCACCGTCGGCAGCGCCTCCACGGCGTCCTTCTTTGCCGGCGGCGTGCCCTGCCGTCCCGCGTCGCTCTCGGCCAGCTGCTGCATCAGGGCGTCCAGCCCGGGCCCAAGAAAGTAGTCCCCCAGCGCCATGCCGTGCTCCCCGAGGGGGGCGGCCGCGAAGATGCTCCGCCCGAATGGGCTGTAGTGCTCTGTCTCGAGGCCGCCACCGTTGCCGAGGGCGGCCGCGGACTCAAGGCGCTGCAGCTGGCGCTCCCGGATCGCCTGCAGGAGCCGCAGGAACGCGGTGGCGCGCCGCCGGCGTCGCGAGAAGTCGACGTTGTCCAGCTCGTCCTCTGCGGCGGCCACGGCGTCCACAGTACGGCGGTTGCTGCGACGGCGCCGGACGGGGTCGCCGACCATGCTGTCGATGATGGGGGCCCAGATGGAGATGGCGTTGTCGGCGCTAGGGTAGGTGCCGCTGGCGTGGGCGTGGGCAGTGCCGGCGGCGACGCTGCTGCGGGCGGTCTCCATCTCCTCGAGGAAGCCGCTGCCGCAATACGGGCACTTGATCTCCACCCCGGCGTCCGCGGCCACGGGGCTGACCGCCGCGGCGCACATGTGGCACCAGTACCTCCGGGCGACCACCAGCTCCCCCATTGCTGTCGATCTCTCCCCCGTCAATGGAGCAGCTCTAATTCTTGGATTTGGCACTGATGAATGAATCAGGAAGGGGAAGATTAGAGCTCGACATCAGGAATGGCCAAGAATCTGAAGAATCGGAAGCCAATGCAGCACCAACTTTTGATGGATTCATGTTCTCCACACGTAGAATACAAGCTAGCTAACCACATGAGATTGCCTTTTTTTTGTTTTTGTCATCGAATCGAATGACGGGAGGGATGCACATCGTTCTTTCCAGGCTCCAAAAACAACATCTACCCAAGAATCTCATCAAGAACCAAATGCAAAACCAGGAGAGACAGAATCAATTCACAAGCAGAAAACCAACCAAATCGGAGGAGAATGATGAACAGACAAGTAATCAATTCACATGCTGAATCTTAAAAGCATCCATGGATTGATCGATGGTTGAAGGAAGAATGATCACCTTGGGCAGGGCATGTGGGGGGAGAGAACAAGGCCAGAGGGGGGCTGGCCTGTCCACCTCCTCTATATTAGCAGTACCCTTTCCTTGGGTTAATTGCTGTGGGCTCCTAATATATAGATACACGTTTACAGGGAGTGATTAAAGGCTTTGCTTGCTCAATTATTGCCTGGGGATGGGGATGCTCTGGCATTTCTAATTTTAAACCGCCTTATTTCTCCATAAAACAAACTACTTCCCTCCATCTAGTCTATTTCTTCTGCGCCGCTAAAAGTTCGGTGGCGTAGCACCTGCTTTGGTTTTCCATCCAACCCAGATATAGGACATCCCCAAGGCTCAAGGAAAACATTTTATTTTACAAAAAAAGAGTTGCGAGAGCGACAACGGAGAACGCTCCTTCTACGATCATCGAGCATGACCATGTGCGTGTCCTCGGGACGCCTTAAAGTAGTGGGTACCATCTCAGCAAACATCTGTTACATTTTTTATAGATTTAAATAGATTGTTCTTTGGATTTTTTGGGCTACCATCATTCCCAAAAAATGGAGAGTATTTCTTGGCTTGCATGTTGAGGTCGGCTGAATGTGAGGGTATACATGGTCAAGAAGAACCGGAGGAACATTTATCACTCCTTCTGTGATTTGTGCGTGGCAACTAAATCGGTGGATGCCCTCAATGTGTATGCTCATCGTTAGGGTTTCTGTTTCTCACCCCTATACCTTGGCGGCGGTTAGGGAAAACTCTCCCGTCCATGCTTCGTCGGTGAGCCCATAGATTCGCCTCCCCTTTGCACGTTGCTCCGGCAGCCGGTGACGGAAGGGGAATCCTGGTGCATTCGATTCAGTTAGTAATTTAGGTTAGGGTTTTAGTCATCGCAGGTGGGCCACTCTTAGTTAGGATTTTCTATTCCTCCTAGCTTGCAAAATTCCCCTCTACACTTGCGCATGCTTTTTCATTGACTAGTTCTAGTGGTTGGCCCAGTGAGAGAATTACCCGTGTCTGTCATTAGACTTTATCTTTTCGCGGGTAGATGTCGACACTTCTTTTTCAAGTTTGTCTTTCGGGCTTCGATCCGAGTTTGTCCATCCGGACATAGTCGACGAAGCTCCAGTGTATATTCCCGGCATCTCCTTGGAGCCGTGAGGTTAATGTTTCTCATCGTGTGACGAGATTTAGTGTTAGATGCTTCAAATTTATTCAAGGAGTCAACGACGGCGATTGCGGGTCCATGTCGCTAGTTCTTAGGAGCACGTCCATGAAGACTTTCCGGCTATTATCGACAAGGTTAAACCGTCATCAATAGGGGGACGACGACATCGGCGCTTCAACGGCTCGTCCTTCTGAAGGTAGTGGTCGTTCGGTGGTCTCGGAATCTCGATGTAATTTTTATTGTGTTTGAGATGTTTTATATTCCGGTGAACTTTGATAATAGATCTGAATCATTTTCGCAAAAAAAACCCAAAACCAGTGGATCACCTAATTCTAAGGTGTGCTTCGGCCCACTAAATCTGCAAATTGAATGTCTTAGGGCATCTCTAGCCCACCCCTTAAAATGTTTTGGTGGAGCAAAATAATCAACTAACCGCATCTAGCCGAACCCTTATACTTTAGAGGAGCAAATATTAAGGAGTTATCCCAAAAAGGCAGCCCAACTCTCTCAAATATACTCGATCAGATGCACTTCCTAGGATAAATATCGTTTGCTCCCCCGCCCGCCTGAGGTACCATGATGCAGAGCATCCTATGAACATCATGATGTCAAGAGTCTGTTCGGCAAGTGACACGTTCATCATCTACTTCACATACATAGTGAATCAACTCCTTTACCCGTGCTCACTTGACCCCTTCGAGGATGGTATAGTACATGACACTCCTCTCATGTGCATGCATAGGTGTTATCGAAGAATCACTGATGACGAGGAGGAGTGCAAGCACCGAGAAACAACTACACCGTCCGCGAAGGAAGCATGGAAGCGACGACAGAAGAAGACGGAGATGCTGAAGTTACAACGACCGAACATTCGGATCAGGGCCGGACATCCGGCGCCTGTGCAGAAGAGGAACATAAGAGCTTCAGTGATCGAACATACGGACAACCCCCGAACATTGGGCGCCTCCCCGGATATCCGGACAAAGGAGTCCAGAGAAGAGGCTGACTCGGGCCACCACCCAACCGGACATCCGATGCCCCAAGTCGGGCTGGACATTCGGCATGACCCCGAACATCCAGCTCCTGCAACGCAACCACAGGCAAGAGGCCATGTAACCTCGCTCTCTCTCTCTCTCTCTCTCTCTCTCTCTCTCTCTCCCTCCCTCCCTCCACTTCACCTAGACTATATATAGACCACCTCCTCCCTCTAGTTAGGGTTAATGAAGTGATAGCTCAGATTTGTGAGAGAGCTTTCACTACTGTAGGATGGTCCAAACGCGACAGTACAATCAGAGACCCTTCGACGAAACTGTGGCGATGCATTAATCGCAAACGATGGTGTAGGAAAACCGTAAAAAATGATACGAACTGTTTGCGATGGCACAAACATCAAATATGATTCAGATCAGAGTTGCGTGTGTGATATGTGGCATATGGGTGGTTCATACAGACTGTTTGCGATGAGCACAACAACAAAAATGGTCAGCCAGATGGGTGTGTGTGCGATATATGACATATAGTTCACTCAGATGAACTGTTTGTGATTAGGCAACACAACAGAAACGGTCAGCCATATCAAGGTGTGTGCGATATATGGCATACAGTTCACTCGGATGAACTGTTTGGGATGAGCCAAG